TACACGTAATTGAGATCTCATCTAACTGAGCTCTAGGTCCCTTGTGGGAGAACTCCGGGAGTATGGTACTGTGTGCCATTAGCTCTAACTTCTGCCTGGAAATCCACAACTGTGCTTCTTCTGGAAGATTCACGTGTCCTGTTTCATTTCACAAAGAGTTCTGCTGTCAGCACTAGCCATGTCATTCCCTCTCTGGTCTGTCTAGGACTGGATCCCAGACATTAATGTGGAAAAGCATTTAGATATGGAGGCACAGAATCCCGCTCTTCCTCAATTTGGTGTCTAGGTCCTATGTTCTGAAACAGGAGAGTGCTTTTCAGAGCCTGGTGTGATCTCAGCTCACTGTAATCTCTGCCTCCCGGGTTCCAGCAATTCTCCTGCCTTAGCCTCGTGAGTAGCTGGGATTACAGGCCTGTGCAACCATGCCTGGCTAATTTTTTTTTTCTTTTGTATTTTTGTATTTTTAGTAGAGATGGAGTTTCACCATGTTGGCCACAGTGGTCTTGATCTCCTGGTCTCAAGTGATCCGCTTGCTTCAGCCTCCCAAAATGCTGGGATTACAGGTGTGAGCCACTGTTGCTAGCCCCATTTTTCTTGAAGAACAAGGGAGGTGTAAGTCAGAAGAACCTGCAAACGGGAGCTGGGCACAGTGGCTCACACCTGTAATCTCAGCACTTTCGGAGGCCAAGGTAGGTGGATCATTTGAGCTCAGAAATTTGAGACCAGCCTGGGCAACATGGCAAAATCCCATCTTTACAAAAAAATGCAAAACTTTGTCAGGTGTGATGGCTCACACTTGTAGTCCCAGGTACTTGGGAGCCTGAAGCAGGAGGATCACTTGAGCCTGGGACGAAGAGGTTGCAGTGAGCTGAGATCCTGCCACTGCATTGCAGCCTGCGCAACAGAGGGGAGACCCTGTCAGAGGGGAGAGAGAGAGAGGAGGGAGGGAGCAGAGGAGAGAGAGAGAGGGGAGGGAAGGAGAGAGGAAGAGAAGGATGAGGTGGGGAGAGGGGCAGGGGAAGGAGAGAGGGACCGTAAATGGGAAACTGCATGTTTAAAATACTGGCTGGGCATGGTTGCTCATGCCTGTAATCGCAGTACTTTGGCCAAGGCAGGTGGATCACTTGAGGTCAGAAGTTCAAGACCAGTGTGGCCAACATGGCAAAACCCTGTCTCTACTAAAAATACAAAAATTAGCTGGGCATGGTGGCACGTGCCTGGAATCCCAGCCATTCAGGAGGCTGAGGCAGGAGTCTTTATTGAACCCAGGAGGCGGAGGTTGCAATGAGCCAAGATCGTGCCACCGCACTCCGTCCTGGGTGACAGAGAGAGACTCCATCTCAAAAAAAAAATGCTGTATGTACTCTGCAGATACAACTATGTAAGAACTTACATGATTAAAATTTGAAAAGGAGTAGAAAAAGTGAAGTTTGGAGTGGCAGGTTAGTATTTCTTTGTCACCCAGGCTGGAGTGCAGTGGCACGATCTCGGCTCACTGCAGTGCCTCCTGGGTTCAGGTGATTCTAGTGCCACCATTCCTGGCTAATTTTTGTATTTTTAGTAGAAGTGGGGTTTCGCCATGTTGGTCTCAAACTCCTCCTGACCTCAAACTATCTGCCTGCCTCAGCCTTCCAAAGTGTTGGGTTATAGGTATGAGCCACTGCCTGGCCCAGACTTCATTCTTAAACTGCCTTTAGTTTCCGGCGTCCCAGACTGAACAGCTACTCTAATTCATTTAATGAGGAAGGTAGGTCTTTGAGAAGTAATTGAGAAATCTAAAGCCAAATATAGTTTGGAGAAAGATCAGATACTGCAGGGGCAGAGAGTTGAGATTGGGCCACAGTAAGAAGAGAAGAAAATATCAAAAGCAGAGATCACCCACCCTGCAACTGAATGCCAGCAGTAATACAGGATTTGGGCCAGCAGCGGTTAATGCAAAAGAGCTAGCTGTTAAATTGAAAATAAAAGCTTTTGTATTGTTTTGTTTTGTTTGTTTTAGAGAGAAGATCTTGCTCTGTTGCCCAGGCTGGAGTGCAGTGTTGTGATCATAGCGCACTGCAGCCTCAAACACCTGGGTCCAAGTAATCTTCCCGCCTCAGCCTCCCCAGTAGCTAGGACTACAGGTGGGCACTACCACACCCCACTAATTTTTTTTGTTTTTATTTTTTTGTAGAAATGAGGGCTTGCAATGTTGCCCAGGCTGGTCTTAAACTCCTGGCCTGAAGTGATCCTCCACCTCATGCTCCTGAAGTACTGAGACTGCAGGCATGCACCACCATGCCTAGCTAATTTGTTTGTTTCTTTGTAGAGCTAATTTTTATATTTTTTTGTAGAGACAGGATCTCACTATGTTTCCAAGGCTGGTCTCAAACTCTTGGCCTCAAGAATTTCTCCCACCTCTGCCTCCCAAAGTGCTGGGACTATAGACAGGAGCCATTCCACCCAGCCAGAAAATACAAGCTTAACAGGAAGCCTAAAAGACATTTCAGGACCTCTCTGCTTTTTAGAACCCCTTCTAAAGATCCTTCTCCCGACCCTGTGGACTGGCCTCCAGTACCCCAGTTTGGCCATAATTGTGCAGTGGCTTAGGCCTGTAATCCTAGCATTTTGGGAGGCCAATGTGGGTGGATCAGTTGAGGTCAGGAGTTTGAGATCAGCCTGGCCAATATGGTGAGAGCTTGTCTCTCCAAAAACAATTTATCTGGGCATGTTGGCATGCGCCTGTAATCTTAGCTGCTCAGGAGGCTGAGGTTGCAGTCAGTCCTGGTTGTGCCACTGCACTCCAGCCTGGGTGACAGAATGAGACCCTGTCCTGTGTCCTTCTCATTGCATCTTACCAAGAAGCACCTGATGTCATTTTGTCCCGTTATTTTGTAGGTATTTCAATGTATTAGTCTCTAGAATAGAGTGTTCCATTGTGTAAGATCAAATCCAGCTTACCTATCTCATACTGGCTATTTTTCTTTCAGCCCAGAAGTTTTTCTTTGCTAAAATAACTTTATTTTGTGAGTTTATAGATTTGGATTATAAAAATAGACTGGAACAGTCAGATCAAATTAGTCCAGACTTTTTATGAGTTCACTTGGGAGAAATGGGAGTAATTCTGAAATCCAAAATGAGAAAAATCCATGTTTAACAAAGAAAACATAGTTTTTAGCTGAAGGAAGTCCCCTGTAAAAACATACTTACGTGTGTCATAGGATTCCTTTCACAGTAAGCTACCTATTTTACATGTGATTCAGTTGACATAAAAGAAACTCTGTTTTAAATGATTAGTATGTGAGATGATGGATATGTTAATTAACTTGATTTCATCATTTTGCTCTGGGTACATATATCAAAACTTCATGTTGTACAGCATAAATATATACCGTTTTTATTTGTCAGTTATATCTTAATGCTGGAGGGCATGGGAGAAGAACATCTGTTTGCTGTATTTCACAAGCACATCTATTGCATAATGTATACACACTGCCCTATTATGTGAGATTTGTGGGCCCAGCCTAGGATTTGGCTTTTGACAGTCAAAAAGATTGCCCTTTGTGATGCCAGTCTCAAAAATGTTAAGTGCGTACCCCAAGCATCTCCTTAAAAAGGATTTTGGATTTATTGACCATGAATTTATCTTGAATCTCTTTCTACTTTCATTTGTACTATTCAGGGACTGATGATTTGTATGTTTGTTTTCCACCTGTATTTAGATAGCATTCCTTTTTTTCACTTTAATTCAGGGGTCACACACTCTGAATGTCTCAAATGATGAGTCAGTGAAATGGTTTGCATGTTAGGTTTAAAAATAAGAGAGTGGGTGTCCCATCTACAGGGAGCAGCCATGCTCAACTTTCAGCCTGAGATGAGTGTGGTTCAGTGTAGCCAAAATATTTTGACTTATGGCTGGACGCAGTGGCTCATGCCTGTAATCCTAGCACTTTGGGAGGCCAAGGTGGGTGGATCACTTGAGGTCAGGAGTTTGAGACCAGCCTGGCCAACATGGTGAAACTCTTTCTCTACTAAAAATACAAAAATGAGCAGGGCATGCTGGCACATATCTGTAATCCCAGCTACTTGGGAGGCTGAGGCAAGAGAATCGCTTGAACCCAGGAGGCAGAGGTGGCAGTGAGCCGAGATTGCGCCACTGCACTCCAGCCTGGGCAACAGAGCAAGACTCTGTCTCAAAAAAAAAAAAAAAAAAAAAAAAAAAAAAAAAAAATTCTGATTTTTCCCTAGAATGCTCAAGTCTAAATTTTCAAACATTGTGAATTCTCTCAAAAATTTGAAAAGGCACAGTGTAGAATAAATAGCTGCCTTATGGCTTGCCAGTTTCTTTCTTTCTTTCTTTCTTTTTTTTTTTTTTTTTTTTTTTTGAGACGGAGTTTCGCTCTTGTCACCCAGGCTGGAGTGCAATGGCGCGATCTCGGCTCACCGCAACCTCCGCCTCCTGGGTTCAGGCAATTCTCCTGCCTCAGCCTCCTGAGTAGCTGGGATTACAGGCACGCGCCACCATGCCCAGCTAATTTTTTGTATTTTTAGTAGAGACGGGGTTTCACCATGTTGACCAGGTTGGTCTCGATCTCTCGACCTTGTGATCCACCCGCCTCGGCCTCCCAAAGTGCTGGGATTACAGGCTTGAGCCACCGCGCCCGGCACTTTCTTTCTTAAATATACCTCTTTTACATTTCCAAGTGTCCTTTCTAGTTTCTGGGATTTGGTATATGAATTCACAGTATTCTCATACTTCTTCCCCAATTGCATGACAACTTTTATTACGTCATTCTTTTAGTTTTCCTCTTAACACATTACGGACAATTTTTCAGTATTTTATGGTTATTATATAAAAACAGTTCCATATACTACTTCATTTACCTTGACCCATGGCCATCTAATGCGTAATAAGTAAAAACTGTACAATCAGTCCTTTCACCTGCCATTGTTATCGCTGTTCTTGAGCATGAGTGATGATTCGTGGTTGGAGGCCAACTCTTCTTCCCTTCTCTCTGCAGCCGTCGTTTCACCAAGCTGACAATGTTCGGGGCACCCGCCACCACGGGTTGGTGGAGAGGCCGTGCAGGAACCGCTTCCACCCCCTCCACCGAAGGTCTGGGGACAAGCCGGGGCGACAGATATCCTTTTTTACTCTTCAGGGGGAGTGTGGGTTCTGAAATGTTTAAAAAGTTGTCGGGATTTATCTTCCCTGCAATTCTCCTTTGGCCTCAAAATCTTTATCTGATGAAGGGAGGCAATACAAATAAATGAGCTGGAAACTAGAAACATCTCTGCAGTCAAAATTTGGAAACATTGTAGGTGTTTATGAAAGCATCAGTAAAGTTCAGGTTCATGAAATAACAAAAACCATGTGTCATTCAGCCAAATTAGAGTTAAACCTGACTTTGAATCAGGTTACAGAGGCTTAGTCTATCTAGCAAAAATGGACATACAGGTATGTGATTTATTTGTATTTCTTTTGATCTGCTGACCTGCTTTTGGAACTTAAGAAATTTCATATAATTTTCTATTTGTGATGCTTCAAACTCAGTAAGTGATAACTAAAATAAACCTAGAATATAGGAAAATTTCATGCAGCAATGCACAGTCACACCAAACTCTATGCAGTTAAGTAGAAATCAAGGAAAGGAAATGGTGAATTCACCTGACAGTTCTGCTTATAGGCGGCAGTGGCGGGCGCTGCTGTGTGGGGAGCAGACTGAGCTGGGTTTTTCAGGAGAGAACACAGAACTGTGCCAGGAGGGTTGGTACTCTCACTTCATCCTTCTCAGAACTCGGGTTCAGGGGTGGAGGAAGGCGAAGAAAGGCAGGGTGGGCCCCACTGTGGAGAGCTGAATTCCTGGCAGTGATTACTAGAGTTGGCTTCACAAGCCCGGAAACCAGGAAGTGGGGGCAGGGCACTTAATGTTTACTGAGCACCTACCCATGCCAGGCACTGTGCCAGGCAATTTATGTGCCATTTAGACCTCAGAAACTCACTGGGTCATGTATTTTTCTGACCCTCATTTTCTGATGAGGAAACTGAGCATGTGGTGGATTAACCCGCCTGGGATGCAGTTCAGGCCCAACCGATGGCCCAGCCTGTGCTCCACCCTCCCCACGCCACCTATGCCCACTAGCAGAGATGAGGACCTTGTGCAAGGGAGCCAGGAGTTGTGAGGCACCCTAGGGAAACCCCAGTTTCTCTTGCCTTCAAGCTTCCTGCAGGTTTGTTTGTTTGATTGAGTTTTGGTTTTGTTATTGAGACGGAATCTCGCTCTGTCACTCAGGCTAGAGTGCAGTGGCACGATCTCGGCTCACTACAACCTCTACCTCCTGGGTTCAAGCAGTTCTCCTGCCTCAGCCTCCCCAGTAGTTGGGACTATAGGTGTGTGCCACCACACCCAGCTAATTTTTTTCTGTTTGTATTTTTAGTAGAGACAGGATTTCACTGTGTTAGCCAGGATGGTTTCGATCTCCTGACCTCGTGATCTGCCCACCTCAGCCTCCCAAAGCGCTGGGATTATAGGCGTGAGCCAGGTGCCCAGCCACAGTTTCTAATCTATTTGGAGGCAAAGAGAATGTCCTCAGGGAATGTTTGTCTCTCCCCTTTCTCCCGCCCCCAGGGACACACCACATTTGGTCCACAGAAGGACCGACTTCTGATTTTGTATATTATGTGGCTGTTATCAAGGAAAGTAAAGATGGTAAATAATCTGGAGAATTCTATTCTGGAATGTGTGATAACTTTGACACTGAATGAAAAAGGCAAAAGGGAATGGAGGCAGTTCATCAGCAAATTTGCACATGTCAGGATGGAGTAGTACATCAAACCGTGGTCCAAACTGCCTAGAATGTTCAAGCAGAAGACTCTGAGTGCTTCTTTGCTTGATTTAACAATGTATGTTTTTTCAGTTCTCAGTTCCCTCTTTCTCCTGATGGTGCTCTCATTTCTGTAGAGTCTATTAAACATGATGCCATGTATATGTATGTGTGTAGATGTATATGTGGCTATCTCAGATACTTTTGAACCAAATACAGTCTAAATGTATAAGCCTACACATAGCTTTATTAACAAAAGGAATAGAAGAGGAGGGAATTGAGAAAAGAGAAAGGAAGAGAATGTTTATCCACTTACAAAAACTATTTGTTAAGTATGTGCTAGTGGTCAGACATCATTTTAGACATTTAGTTAACTGTCACAGTAAACATAGCATGGTCCCTGCCCTCAGGTTGCCCAGAATTTAGTAGGAGAGGCTGCTCAGCAAACAAGCAGCCACGGCAGGTCTGGCGTCTGCAGGGAGGCAGCTCCAGAGCTGTGGGAGCACGTCAGAGGTGCAGCTTGAACCATTCCAGGGAAACCAAGTCATCCTGGGGGAAATCTGAGGCTTGAGGGATGAGAAGCAAGAGGAGAAAGTGTTCATTCATTAGATATTTACAGAGCCCCTTCTCTGTGCCAGGCCCTGTTGTAAGCCCAGTGATGAATAGGGAGACATAGTTCCTGCTTTCTTGAGTTTACAGTCCTGTGGGCGATGATGGCAAACAGGCAAAAAATAATAAAGGAAAATGGCTTTAGATGGTGATGAGTGAGATTTAAGAGAGTAAAGCGGTTGGGAGGGTATGTTTCAAGCAGAGGGAAGAGAATGTGGTGCAGAGTCCCAGAAAGGGAGGCAACTGCCTTTGTCCGGGGACCCTGTCTCTTAGGATAGGGTATAATCTGGCACTGTAGGGATCAACTGGAGAGTATTAGCAAAGCTAGTCAACTCCTAAAGGAAGTAGAAGCAAAAAACCAAGTTAATATGCAGAGAAATTAAAGTCATTAGACAGTATGAGTCAGAGTCACTGATTATGAGCCATGTCTTTGTGGTCTCCTAAGCCCCTAAACTGGGGTCCTGGGACTGGACATCTGTGATGCAGAGAAAGTTCTTTCGCCCAGTGTCTTGAGGAATCAAGGGTCCATGAAAAGGGAGACCTTGGAGGAGCATGGCATATGCAGGGAAGTGGCTCAGGGGCTTGGAGAGGCTCAGGGGCTATGATTCCATCTTTGTTTTCATGGCCTCCATTCTGTTGGTTGTGAAATAATTTGCTTAAAATGGTGGCCTTGCACATTTATCTATTACATTTTTAATGAAGTTTCATCATTTGGAAGTATAAAAAACTGGTTTCAGTCTTTGTTAGAACAAAAGGAAAAAAATGTAATCAGAATTCTCTTCTTAGAGCTGCTTCTTGGCTTGAGTGTTATTTAAGGAGGGCACACTGGCTTAGACAAGGGCTCTGAGGGTTCGCTCCTACAATTGGGTGATCTCAAAGAAAATGAACATTGTTTAACGAATATTCTGGCTTCCTCTCAGAGTGGGCAGCCACAGCATGCAGAGCTCTGGACAGGAGATTCCTTCTGGAGTGGGCTTTGCCCTTGGCACGGGCAGCCACAGAAGACCAGGGTACAGCTGCAGCTGGGCCCTGCCCTAGACCCATGCAGGCAGAGGAGAGGCACTGTCAGGGCTTGCTCCTGGCTGGGGGTCTGGGCTCGAGCGCTTGGAATAGATGCTCTTCTGCCCTTCTGCAGCTGCGCAGTCTGTAGCGGCCCTCTCACTCCCACTCCTCAAGAGTGGCAGACATGCTGGGTCCTAAACACCATCGCTGAACTTCTGAACTAGTCACATACATTTATAGCAAATAAAATATTTTCTCAGACTTATGGGTAACACACTGAGAAAGAAGGAGATATGCTGAAGAAGCGTAGAAAATGCCTTCCTTTAAAGGAAGTAGAGTGCTCACTAGCCTGAAGGCTCATGTAGAGGGGCCTAAGAACTGCAGAGTTAGGAATGGTTCTCCTCTCTGGGCTGGGCCTTGCTTTGGTTCTTTTCATCATAATGAGATGATAATGTTAGGACATTGGTTTATAGGACACTGTTGCTTTGAGATACATGGCCTATTACATTTGAGAAACACCATACTCTGTATCTCCTCTTGCAGCCTGACCATATATATTAGGGCTCTGAAAAGTCCTGCAGTTATGAAACAACTTCTCTTTACCCCAGGGTTTCCAAAACTTATGTGATCACAAAATCCAACTTTTACCTAACACCTGTCACCTCTTGAAGGACAAGGAAACACTGGTCTTTAGAATGTTAAGGGGGAAATATTCTGACTTCACAATACCACATGCAACCTATTTGCCTCTCTTGTGCTGAGGGAAATAGGGTGTTTTTATAAATGCAAGGACTCAAAAAGATGCCACTTATATGCGACCCTTACAGTTTGACTTAAAGATGTATTCTAGTGGGGTATAGTTGGAGGGACAAAAGGAAGTAAAATGACAGTAAACACATGGCTGAGAAATCAGGATGGAGCCAAATTGTGGCTACTTCTCTGTATTAAATCTGAAACTGAAACTTGTCTTGGTGGGTTCTATTAAGCAGACTCCCACGTCCACCTACCCCACCAGCTGCATGGAGGGTCGCAGGCCCGCCCCGCAAACTGTGTCCCTTGCAGAACACAGTTTCAGAGCAGGAGAGAAGATGACTGGCTTCCAGGCTGCCGCCACAAGGCTGTTCCTGAGCCCTGCCCAGGTGCACTGACCCACAAAGAGATAGGAAGCCAAGAGAAGGGAACTGTGTGTCTGCTCACCCAGCCGCAGGTCAAGCCTCAAGCCGCACAAAGAAAGGGGCAGGGCGGGTCTTATTTTCAGCTTCTGTAGCTCGGTTCCCTACCCACTGGTAAACGGGCCAGCTGATGTCTTCTCTTATCAGCAGAAGAAGAGCTACTCCTGTTCCTTTGGGGAAGAGTGAGTAAGAACTGTTCCCTCCCCAGGTTGAGAGGAACAGGATTGTTCCTCCCTGTGTTGATGGATTGAGGCAGTAACTGGAGTAGGAAGATTTTCCTACACAGAACTGCAGAGGCTTGGGCAGAGAGAAAGACTGGGATGACTCAGATCCTAACCTGAGTGTCTTGGTGGATGGTGCCCTCGCTAAAGAATATGGACCATAAGAAGAACAACAGACGAAAGGGACAGTAATTGGTTGGATTTCAGTAGAATTTGAGCTGTCTTGGGTACCTTTGGCAGAGGACTTGAGCAGCCAGTTGGAAATATGCACGTGGAGTTCCCAAGAACTGTTGGCAACTGCAGGTGTGGATTTAAGAGTTACTGGACTGTAGGTGACAGCTGGGGCCAGGGAAGGATGGGATTGGCCAAGGCAAACATGGAGGACAGGGGCTCTCCACCAGGAAGACAGGCACTGGTTCTGAAGCTCTTAGGAAGTGCCTCCCAAAGCACCTGTGCCCAGAGGCTCCAGCCACCCCCTCTATTTGCTCCCACTCTTCCTGGTGCCCAGTGATCCTGAGAGCATCCTGTGCTTCCCAGAGCAATGCAAGCAGGCATGGCCTGAGAGGCCACCGGACCACAGGGGACACTGGGCCAGAAGGCAAAGGGGTGAAGAGGAGTGCACAGAGGGGTAAGAAAAGATCCATGCGGGTGTGGGGTTTTTTAAGAACTTTAATTTTTGTTTCCATCCGTTGCAGCCACCTCTTCTTTGTTTATCTTTTTTGTTATCCCTCCTCCCCACCTTCCTTTTTTAATGTGGAAATCTTCCTTGAGCGGAAGGCTTCACTAAGGCTAACTAAGGAAGCAGTGGAGGAGGAGCTAGTGAGGTTGTTAAAAACCCGGTAGCCTGTGCGTCCCTTCTGCTGGCACGCCGGCACCTAGCAGGCACGCCAGCAATGTTTCTTGAATAATGGTAAATTGAAGTTGATAAATAAGAGTGTTTTCTCTGTCTTGAGGTTGTTATTTAGGGCATGTTAGTGTTGCGGAGTAATTAAAGCCACCTGAATGAAGTTTTCTGAAATTTTCCAAAGAACTAATAAATTTTGTCTGGGTTTTCCTCATATTAAGTTTAACTATAAGCTTATGAGTGGTTCCCTCGAGTTTTCAAATATCCAGTAAATTAAATGAGACAGTAAAAATTAAAAAGAGCTGAGAGGTCACATCTTTTAACTTTTGATGCCTCAGCCTAATTATATTAAAAATTTCTAGGAATTTACTATCTTTTTGTGTTGTTAATATCAGGAAGGTTAAAATGCTAACTTACACTCAACATTGAAATCACAAACATTTGATCATTACATGACTAATACACCACTGCATTCTAATTTGTATTATTAGTACTATGAAATCGGACATATTGACTTAAAAGATGGCAGTGTACTGAGACAAAGAGTAAACTTCTACTTCCTGAAATTAAGCATTTCTCAGCAGATATTAATCAAACCTGCAGAAAAGAGAAAGGCAGATAACCGTAGGTCTCAAGTCTCAGTGTTTCCTCCCTAATGGCTTTGCCAGCAGATATACGGATAGTCTGTCTCTCACGGGCCTTCATCTTCATCACCTTTTCCTCTCCTGCCTCCTACTGTGGTCTTGTCTCATCTGTACTTCATGTACATTAAGCCTAATAGTAAACCTTGAAGAAACATCTCCTTGGGAAATTACCTGTTTTATTTTATTGATTCAGGATCAAATTAAGAAATAAGATAATGAGACATGTCAAAGAAAACTAATACATAGAAGATGAAACTTGAAATTCTAATGCTTCTCCTGGCAAAGAAGACATTTCCCACTAAATCATTAAGAACTCATGAGAGCCTCCATTTTCCTAATTCCAGATTGTGTATTTACTTGAGCTGCCCAGCCCAGGCCTGCAGGATAGGGCCCCACTCCATCAAGGCTCCTGTCTCCTCCTGAGCCCGAGCAGATGATACCTTCTCTTATCCCCTCCTCCATCCTTCTTCCCAGAACACTCCAGGTACCATTTTCTATTTTCTGGGGCATGTGGTATAGTTCACTGTTTGCTGAGAGGCCGCTTAGTGGAGAGCTCTCAGGCTTTGGCATCAGTGAATTGTGGGTCTGACCCCTGATACACCAGGCCAGCTATCTGATCTTGGATTTCTCAGCTCTTCTAGAACTGAGCCTCAGCCTCTTCAGCTGTAAAATGGGGGAAAATATTTGCCTGTCAGGATTGTTAAGATTAAATGAAAGTGTGAACTCGGTACAGGCCTGGCACACAGTAGGTGGTTAGATATCTGTTTTCAAATTTCTGTGTTGATGTGTCGTATAGCTTGTATCTTCTTTAATATTTCCACCTTAAGAAATAAAGATTTGGGGTGAAAAGTGTTATTGGTAACTGCCGAATGTATATTTCATCCAATCAGTGATCCAGGAGACAAAAGGAATGGGTTTGGTTTGGGGGAGTGATAAGAAGGCAGCGTTCCACATAGGAGGCGAGAAAGGGAAAGTGGTGTTAGCAAAGGCAGAGGGGCAGAAAAATCCAGGCTGTGTTTGTGGAACCCAGACAGATGCAGGGATGACGAGCAGAAGAGGCCATTGGCCCCAAATTGTGGAACACCACAATAAGTTTTTGCCTTTTAGGCTGAACAAAATGAAGATTTCTTAGCAGAGTAAAGTGATTAACAATGTCTTCAGAAGGCTATGTGTGGGAACAGATAACTGAATGAATGAAAACAGTGCCTCTCTACTCTGTGTGTATGCCTCACCCCTATTGTGTCTCCAGGTGCCCAGAATATGCTCCAAGGTGCGCCAGACCCAGTGAACAACACAAGATTGATAAGACAGTGACCACACATCTAATGCACCTCTTTTTTGTCTGTAAATACCAAGAACCCACCTTAACTTAAGAAAATGAGGCCGGGCGCAGCGGCTCACGCCTGTAATCCCAGCACTTTGGGAGGCTGAGGCGGGTGGATCACGAGGTCAAGAGATCGAGACCATCCTGGTCAACATGGTGAAACCCCGTCTCTACTAAAAATACAAAAAAATTTAGCTGGGCATGGTGGCGTGTGCCTGTAATCCCAGCTACTCAGGAGGCTGAGGCAGGAGAATTGCCTGAACCAGGGAGGCCGAGGTTGCGGTGAGCTGAGATTGCGCCATTGCACTCCAGCCTGGGCGACAAGAGCGAAACTCCGTCTCAGAAAAAAAAAAAAAAAAAAAAGAAAAAGAAAATGTATGGGCTTATGTCGCTAGAAGCCCAAGGGCTAGATCCAAGGTGTCATACAATATCATGGAGACCTCTGTGGTGCCACCTCTGGGATGACTTCACATGTAATAGAGAGTCTTTCTCGTGGCAAAACCCCAGATTCGGACACCCTTGGGCTCACACCACCTCTACTGGGGCACTCCTGTTTTTCCCTCAAAAGCACTCTCCTTGGTTCTGTTTGTGCCTATCCCTGAGCCAAACACTGTTTCCAGAGGGTGAAGTACCTGGGCTATTATCCTGGGCCTGGGTCCCTCCCTTGTGGCCCAGAGGGAATAGCAACCTTAGCAGGTTTGGAGCGAGAGTGGCAATAGTTCCTGAAAACAAAAGGTGCCAGGCAGGCAAAAAATAACAAACACCCCACAAAAAACCATGCAAAGAAAACACTGGTTAGGAGACAGCAGAATAGACTGTCCTTGAGGAGGGTGATGAGAGAAAGCATGAAGGAAGAGCTGTCAGGTACAGGGATAAAGATAAGAGCCAAAAACTTAGTTAATTAACTCTCTGAGTTCACCTTGTTCATTCTGCTTCAAGTTTCCATTAATTTTTACTTTTCCTTTATTAAAAATTCTACTTTGATGGTAGTGCTTTTGGAGCCAATTATTCCTCACAGCCTCTGGATGAGAGTTGGCCAAGGTAAGCAAGACATACTTTAAAAGTTACGATGGATGTGTGTTATTTTTAGATAATTTTGCTTAACTTTATCCACTTTGAATGTTGTTTTAGAAATTTCTAATATAAAGCATAGAATCCTGTTTTCTCTTATAAAATTTAATTTCAGCAGGAGGATCATTGGAGACCAGAAGTTTTGAGGCTGTAGTGTGCTATGATGGAGCTGTGACTAGCTACTGCACTCCAGCCTGGGCAACATAGCAAGATGCCATCTCTTAAACAAACACACACACACTGGCGCAGTGGCTTACGCCTGTAATCCCAGCGCTTTGGGAGGTTGAAGTGGGTGGATCACAAGGTCAGGAGATCGAGACCATCCTGGCTAACATGGTGAAACCCCGTCTCTACTAAAAATGCAAAAAGTTGCGGGGCGTAGTGGTGCGTGTCTGTAATCCCAGCCACTCAGGAGGCTGAGGCAGGAGAATCGCTTGAGCCAGGGAGCCAGAGGTTGCAGTGAGCCAAGATCGTCCCACTGTACTCCAACCTGGTGACCAAGCGAGACTCCATCTCAGAAAAACAAAGAAAATAAAAAAACACCTAAGCGTTTCCAGCGATAGGCTTATATGAAAGTCTAAAATGAAAAGTTACTTAAAGAAATCTAGGTCAGGCATGGTGGCTTATGCCTGTAATCCCAGCACTTTGGGAGGCCGAGGCGGGTGGATCACGAGGTCAACAGATCGAGACCATCCTGGTCAACATGGTGAAACCCCATCTCTACTAAAAATACAAAAAATTAGCTGGGCATGGTGGCCCGTGCCTGTAATCCCAGCTACTCAGGAGGCTGAGGCAGGAGAATTGCCTGAACCCCGGAAGCAGAGTTGCAGTGAGCCAAGATCACGCCATTGCACTCCAGCCTGGGTAACAAGAGCGAAACTCTGTCTCAAAAAAAAAAAGAAAGAAAGAAATCTAGATCTTCATATTTAAAACCAAATAGAAACACATTTGGAATATATTTACCAATAGAATACTCTGATACGGCATTCTTACATTTGAGACAGAAAAATCAGCATCTTTTCTCAGAGTGTCTTACCTGCTGAAAAGGACAAAAGACTCTTAAAATGGAAATTTGCACAGTGTATTTGCTTTAAGGTCTCTTTGAGTATTTTTGTACCCAATACAGAGGGTGACAGAAAATAGAATTAATTGAGAAAAAACTACCGCATCTATTGTGTGCATCGTATCATTTTTCAGATCACCAAATGAGATTCAGGAGGCATTTAAAATATGTGTATCAAAAACATTTAGCTCTCTGGATTGAAGTCTGCTCTCCCTCCATTCTCTGGGCAGATACTGACTGAGCACTTACTGTGTATGATGTGCCTGGACCTGGGAAAGGAAATAAAGATGGATGACAGTGGGCCCCATCTCAAATAGATTTTCAGCTGCCCTCAAGAATCTTGGGATCCAGGGTTGTAAAATAAATACAGTATTTTATTACATCAGTAAAAGGCATCTCCAAACTGATATTTTTCTTTTGTGTATCCAAGAAATGTCTTCCGATTTTCAGAGCACCAGGATTGGTTAAACTAATATTTTCATACCCTGGGTACTATAACAGTTACATTCCTCTTCATGGCCATTGGCACGGGAATGCAAAATGTTTGCATCCAAGATTGCCAAAGTGCCCCCTACGTGTACACTGAACTCATCTGCCCAACTAGCTACTCCTATTCCTTATGGGTTTTTCCTACTTTGAAATTGGAGATCACAGGACTGGAGGGATCATTCAGTCTTACCTCATTTTAACAATGATAGGCAACATGAGTGAGGCATGGGTTATTTTTAAGTGACTCTCAGGTTGCAGAGCGAGGTGAGTAGAAGAGCCAGTTCTGAGATGTAGGGCTGAGGACCTTCTTTGCTCTCTGTGGATTGACTTCTTTTCCTTTTATGATGTTCTGGTTTTTAAAGGCAGCAGCCTCCTTGGAAAGAAGAAAAGCATCCTGGGTTCAGGCTGACATCTGCACTTAACAGGTACATGGATTGTTTTCTGGTAGAAGTAGATTTTAAAGAAATTTAACCGTCTTGATATTTTTTACGTAGCATCCAGTTGCCAGAGTATGTTTATGTAAGCTGTGTTGATATGATGTGTTAAAAACAAAACCCACCATTTACTAAGTGTCTGCAGGGGACAGTACAGAGCACACGAGGTCTGGGGTGGGACTACTAGGGGTTGCGTCTTACTGTGTGACCTTGAGCAGATTATTTAACTTCTGATTGCCTCAGTTTACTCATTTGAAAAATGGAGATCATGGTCCCTAGATCATGGGTTGAATAAGATAACTCTGGGAAATATATGTGCTGAATAAACATCGGCTATTGTTGTAATCACTTTGGGCCAAACTCCTCAGTCATTTCTTTCAATCCTGACAACACCCTATAAGAATAAGTATTATTATTATTATTATTATTATTTATTTTATTTTATTTTATTTTATTTTTTTCTGAGACAGAGTTTCGCTCTTGTTACCCAGGCTGAGGTGCAATGACGCGATCTCAGCTTACCGCAACCTCCGCCTCCTGGGTTCAGGCAATTCTCCTGCCTCAGTCTCCCCAGTAGCTGGGACTACAGGCTGCGACACCATGCCCAGCTAATTTTTTGTGTTTTTAGTAGAGATGGGGTTTCACCATGTTGATCAGGATGGTCTCGATCTCTTGACCTCATGATCCACCCGCCTCAGCCTCCCAAAGTGCTGGGATTATAGGCGTGAGCCACCGCGCCCAGCCATGAGTATTACTTTCTATTCTAAAAGGTGAAGTGACTTGTTTAAGGGTCTTAGCTAATAGGTGGACTAGTATTTAAAAAAAAAAATCTGGGCACAGTGGCTCACACCTGTAGTCCCTACACTTTGGGAGGCTGAGGCCAGAGGATCATGTGAGCCCAGGAGTTCGAGGCCAACCTGGGCAAGAGGGTGAGACCCTGTCTCTATTGGAAAAAAAAAAAAAAAAAGATATGCCTGTGGTTCCAGCTACTTAGGAGGCTGAGGTGAGGGGATCACCTGAGCCCAGTAGGTTAAGGCTGCAGTGGGCTGTGTTTGCACCATTGTACTCCAGCCTGGGCAACAAAAAGAAGCTGTTGCAAAAACAAAAAGAAACCTGATTAATGGTGCACAATTTTAAATACACGCAAACAGAAGTGTTATAAGAGCCCTGTGGTGCCCATCCTCAGCTTCACTTGTTTTTTGTTTTGTTTTGTTTTTTTGTTTTTTGGTTTTTTTTTTGAGACGGAGTTTTGCTCTTGTTACCCAGGCTGGAGTGCAATGGCGCGATCTCGGCTCACCGCAACCTCCGCCTCCTGGGCTCAGGCAATTCTCCTGCCTCAGACTCCTAAGTAGCTGGGATTACAGGCACGCACCACCACGCCCCGCTAGTTTTTTGTATTTTTAGTAGAGACGGGGTTTCACCATGTTGACCAGGATGGTCTCGATCTCTCGACCTCGTGATCCACCCGCCTCAGCCTCCCAAAGTGCTGGGATTACAGGCTTGAGCCACCGCGCCCGGCTAGCTTCACTTGTTATCAGCATTCTGTCAGTCTCTCTAAACTTACGTCCCACCCTAGTCCCATGACTGACTAGAATACAGTATTTTACCTGGATATATCTCCAGCAGTGTAAGGCCGACGAGAACCTTTTTTAAAAAACAACCACCATGCTGTTATTATACTTAACAAAATTTAAAATAACTCCTTAATGTGATTTAATATCCAGTCTATATTTAGATTTTCCCATTTGGCTCCACATTTGATTGATGTTCTCTTGAGTCTGTTTGAATCTGTAAAGAGGCTGGAATCTGAATCCAGCTGTCTGATCCCAGCAGCCATGCTCCTTCTGTTGCACTACGGGTTCTGCCCTTGTCTGCCTGTTCCTCCTCTGAAGCCTCCCGAGGCTGTCACTGGAGTGGACCACCAAGCATTGTAGGTTAATGAAGATGCTTACCAGTTCTCCTTATGGCCGACAGTTTGACCTCATGACGAGATAAATAAATAATCATGTCTTGCATCCAAGGCTTCATAGGCACTGAAGCTAATTGGGAGAATTTGAGAAATTTGCTATACATTAGTGGCTCCCAAAGTTTTCTCTTAGGTCCACTTTACAGTCTTAAAAAACACTGAGGCTGGGTGTGGTGGCTCATGCCTGTAATCCCAGCACTTTGGGAGACCCAGGCAGGTGAATCACCTGAGGTCAGGAGTTAGAGACCAGCCTGACCAACATGTTGAAACCCCATCTCTACTAAAAATACAAAAATAGCCAGGCATGGTGGTGCACACCTGTAGTTCCAGCTACTCAGGAGGCTGAGGCCAGGAGAATTGCTTGAACCTGGGAGGTGGAGGCTGCAGTGAGCCGAGATCATGACACTGTACTCCAGCCTGGGTGACAGAGCAAGACTCCATCTCAAAAAAATAAAAATAAAAAACAGTGAGGCCTGGCATGGTGGCTCATGTCTGTAATCCCAGCACTTTGGGAAACCGAGGTGGGCACATCACCTGAGGTCAGGTGTTCAAGACCAGCCTGGCCAACATGGTGACCCCATCTCTACTAAAAATATGAAAATTAGCCAGGTATGGTGGCACATGTCTGTAATCCCAGCTACTTGAGAGGCTAAGACAGGAAAATCACTTGAACCCAGGAGGTAGAGGTTGCAGTGAGCACCACTGCACTTCAGCCTGGGTGACAAGAGCAAAACTCCATCTCAAAAATAAAATAAAATAAAATAAAAAACATTGAGGCCCTCAAATAGTATTTGTTTATGTGAGTATATCTATTGATATTAGAAATTAAATTGAGAGATTTTTAAAAAGATACTAGTGAATTAAAAAAATAATAAGCCCATTACATGTTAACATAAATAAGATATTTTTTAAAAGAAACACAAAAAAACGTATTGAGAATAGTGGTAATGCTCACCTTTTACAGATGTCTCCAGGGCAGCTGGGTTCTCTGCTCCTGCTCCTGCACTCAGCAGGACATAACATCTCACATAGCCGCTGCGGAGCCCAGCGTGCTGCGGGGAGAGCAAGAGTGAAAAGGCAAAGGAGGCTTTACTATCATTTTGAGACTAGTCTTGACCTTGTCTTCTCCCTGGAAGGGTATTGCAAACCACTGCTCTAAGTGATCCTTTACTTAGAAACAGTTACTTTTTGGTGGAGAAAACCTAGTGTAGCCACAGGCTAAACTGGCCACAGCCAGCTTCTGAGCTGGGGAGAACAGAAAGATCTTGGAGGGAAGCTGTGAATCCAAGGCCCGCCTTGTTGAACTAGTCACCAAGCCATCAGCGTCAGCAAATAAGGCTACATGAATCTAAATTAAAATATTCGGGAGTGTGGACTATGCTCAGAGGCTGTTACTGATGTAAAGAACTTCAGGTAGGTCCTAACCCCTTATTTGATGATTATAAGTCAGTTATTCTTGCTTTCTTTCCCATTGTTAATATTCAACAAAGACGGTTGCATTTTCACTAAGGAAAACAGATTTTCAACCAGACTCTCTCCTCCGCTCCTTAGGACCAATTCTGATTCTGCTCTTCACACGAGTGTTCTGAGCACCAAGCCCCAGGACCCCTATGGAGGAGGGGGCCAGTCAGCCTGGCCTGCCCCATACATGGGTAAGACACACAGGCCACTGCTGACATCAGCTGTGCTTGTCATTCTGTCCTCGGGCCCGAGGGAGACAGAGGCTGAAATAGAGTTTGCGCTTGCCCGGTTCAGTGGTCTTTGAGAAGCAGCTCATGGCAGGGGAAGCGTGTGTCCGGGATGCAGTCAGGATGGATGGTGCTCCTGGGGTCCCGTGCCTCTGCCCTGCTTCCTCTGTGGCACGCTCTCCTTGTTGGTGTTTCTTGGCCCTCTTCTGGGCATCCATCATCTTCTAATAACTTCCTAACTGGTCTCCTGATTTCCAGTCTCACAGCCCTTCGATCCAATTTTATGTTAGGTTCTCAAGAGACCTCTTTCCCCACCCAGGATCTGAACCAAGTGAAAAATAAAGCCAGAAGTGACAGACAGGGCTAGATCACCTTTCTTACTGAAAAGACCAGGTTGGAGGAAGTGGCTGTCTCTGTGGGTCAGTGGGCCTGTTGTGACTGAACCCCAGCGTGAGGCTGACTCCTGCTGAGTGGCCGGCAGCACTGGCCAGCATGGTCCCCGGGAGGAGGGGGTCAGGTAAGCCTGGGGAGGCAAGGGCAGAGCAGAGGCCTGCTGCCTGAGGGAAGGCACACCCTTGAGAAGGAGATGAGGAGGCTGGACTGGAACTGCATCCCCTGTTCAGTTGGCCCTCTGGCCAGTGTAAGGGCATGGAGAGAGCCCAGGAGTAACCCACACATGCCATCTCGCAGCATCTGCTTTCAGAGTGAACCCAAACCCGATCCTCTTGCTCTCCTGCTTAAAATCCTCACTGCCACCTCTCACCTTCAGGAGGAAACTCAGATCTTCTTTGGAATGGCATGAGCCCCAAGGTCTGGCTCCTGTCTGCCTCTCCCTTTTCCCTCTGCTCCCCCACCTCACATCCAAGGTAGCCATGGGAACCACTTCGGGTACCACTGTTTCTTCCTGTTTTCTTCTCTTCCTCTCTCACTCACTCCCGGCCTTCCTGGCCGACACCCTCTTGATCCATAAACCTTAGCTCGTGTGTGTCCCCACGTCTGTAGAGCCATCTTGACCTTCCTCCCCCTCAGCTCGGAATTGCCATGTCCTTCTGACATCCCAGACTCCTGTCTTAGCACCTGCACTGCTTGGCAGCTTGTTTACGTGGATATGCTTCTCTTTCTCTGCTCAGTGTAGATTTCTTGAAGGCAGCATGTTAATGGTCTTGTTCTCTCCAGCTGCTAGCACAGTGCCCAGCACAGAGGAGCCCGTACTAATGGAGACGTGTGAAGAATCACACATGGGCTCACATGTGCACAACACTTGCCAAAACACCTTCCAGGTGCTGGCACCTGACCTGTGCATGAAGTGAGGGAGGCTGGTCATTCAGACACATTCCAAGCCTACCTTTCTGTTGTTTATAATCTAGAAAGAACAATGGTCTTGAATTAGCCATTCTGTGTGCAGATTGACTCTTGACCAAAAACTTTCAGGGCTGTGTATTTGTTCTTGAAACAGGAATAAATACATCTTTAGCCACAAAACCAGCTTTTCTGGTTTTCTTTACTTTTTGGACAATTTAAAGCCTAAATGGCCTCTTTTCCTTCCAGGAGAACATTCATGGACTTATTTCTTTGTACATAGCAGGGACAGGATTTCATAATAATTGTTACTGTATTGGTTCTGTTGGTGCAATTCAGAGAAGACTACATTTGCCTAAATGATTGTTTGCTTGTAAGCTATGAGAGCTTTCAGAATTGGTTAGGGACATCGACCGATGCTTCCACACATGGGAATATGAAAGTTGGTGGTGATGTTGAAATTGGATATGGGTCCGCTGCTGACTGCTTAGAGAATTAGGGTGTGTGGGAAGAGGGATACATTTAGTTTCAGGATAGGTAGAGATGGGAATATGTAAACCAAGCCTAAAAAAAGCAGAGGCTGCAATGGGTGGGGGCGCCTGTGAGCACAGCAGGATCCTAATGGACGGGAGCCAGCCACACGGACAGATTTTTACCCTGGAGCCCCTACATTTCTGCTTCTGCCATTCCTTCATTTACATTGCCCTCTGCAAAGTTCCTGCTTCTCTAGAAAGGGCCTAAGGCCTAGAGAAACAAGGGAATCACAGGTAATTTAAGTGAGGACTTTCTGAGGCTTGCATATGGAGAACAAGAAAGGAACTAAAGAAAGCAGTTACCTGAGTTGAAGTATTCATGCTGAGCGATGGAGGCTCTGCAAGAAGAGGTGGGAAATGTCAGAAAGTGTAAGTGAGGATGGAATAAGAGCAAGGGAATGTGAATATTGGTCTAGGTAGACAGAGCAATGGGAAAAACAGGAAGAAAGAAAGAAATCCTGGAGCAGGATTCCTGCGTTGGTTGACTTGAGAATTGTGGCGGTCTCTGCTTTTCAAATCAGCAGTTAAAAATTGTTGGGCTCCAGTATCTGACACCCATGGAGGGTGGGCTGGCCTCTAGCTCAGATGTCTGAACTGTGCCTGCTCCTTGCAGTTGCCCTGCAAGTATAGCAGAACTCAGAAACACAGCCTAATATGGATGTGTTTACATGGGAAAGCCAGTGTGTTTAAAATATTATCCAAGTCTCCAAGGATGGAAATTATTTCTGGAGAATTATATTGTTGGTGGGAGCTATTTTAAATCGTTTCATGTATTTTCCCCCTGTATTTCATTAAAGTTTTTCATTTCGTTCCTTTTGGATTTTAAAAATATCAACTAGCTTTGCAAAAAGGTATTTCTTATAGGAGCAACTAAATAAAGATTTAAAAAGTGAAGGGAAAATATAATTGAAGCCAGAACTGAGTTCTACGTTAGAAGCAATAGTAACTGCTCTTTCCCTGGGAATCTCTCGAGCAGATTGATGTAGCCACACCTTTTTGTTGTTGTTGTTGTTGATGTGAGCCAATGATGAGAGCATCTGCTCACAGCTTAACTACATGAGCAGTAAACTATGGTACATTCATGAGTGGAGATTTGTGTCACAAGAAAACAAAGCCTGATACATGTTGAGTAATTTTTGTAATGGCTGTTGAGTTTCATGACAGGCATAAATGATAAGCAGTTGGTATGAATGACGGAAATAAATTTTTATGCAGCCAAACAAGATTTTATAATTTCTCTCTTTTTGTTTAATTATCTAGAATCTGTAAAGAGGGAATGTTGACCATTTCCCTGGCAGCACGTGCAGCCTGATGACCACTTCACACATACATGCAGAGAAGCAAGCACAGGGCTCTCTGGGACACGGGCCCTGTCCCATAGCCTAGGACCGTCCCCTAACACCCCTCCTATCATCGGGCATGTGGAGGAGGGTCTGGGGTAGTCCACTTCCTTTCAGGGAATAAAAGGGTGTGTGATAGTTGTCTTCTCTGCACCCAGCAATATAGATGCTGTTCATCGCCATCTTTGGGGACCACCGTCCTCAGCTCCTTAGGGTGGAGGGGGCTTGGCATGCCTTGGATCCAGTAACCTTTCACCTGCCAATAAGGTTTGACCTGCAGCATTAAGGAGAAGGTTTACAGTGCAAATAACCTTGAAAGATGGAAGCCTGTTAATTGCATGGATTGGGTGGGGGCACAGTGGCAGGTACGAGCATCCCAGATCTGAAGAGGGGCAAACAGAGTGTCACCCGGGGACAAGAGGGCCCAGAATGGGGAGACTGAGACAATGGAGGCTTCCTTTAGGAAATTGTTAACGAGTCTTCCCCTGGCCTTCCCTTCCATTTAGCAGATAGAGGCTGTGTGAGGAGTTATTTTAGGTGTTCCAGGCATGGGAGCACACAGAAGGGACATGGTCTCGGAAGAGACCAGCCCTCGGTGGCTCTGAGGCCGTGAGGTTTCCTGGAACACAGATGCAGCCTTGGTCATCGCTGTCCCATCCCTGTGGGACCGATAAAATTAGTGTCCTCTGTTTCCAGATATCCAGTCACAACTGATTCCTTTTTCTTTTTAACCCTTTATTTGTAGTGATATCTTGCGGGTTTTTTTTTTTTTTAAATCTAGTAGTAAAAATCCAGGATTGGATATTTTGATTGTATGTTAGCTTGGTGCCAGGGTATCAGTCATTGCCACCACTAGGCTTCTGGGCACTGAAGCTCAAACCCTGACAGTTGCATTTAATTATTCCCCTTCCCATGCCCCCACGATTACTCCCCTTCCACGCCCATTCAGTAGCCAGGTCTACTTCATTTTATCCCAGCAGCATGTCTGAAATCTGCCTCTGGTTTTCTGTTCTTGCTGCCAGTATCCTACTTGGTCACTGTTTGCTTGGACTATTGCATGGGTTTTCTGCTTGGCCTCCCTGCCTTAAGGCTTTCTTCTTTCAATCCACCTCCTGCTCTGCTGCCAGAGCAGTCTCTGAAGCATAGCTCTGATCATGTCACTTCCCTATCTGAAACCTTCCATACCCCACATCCTGCCAAATGACCAGCAGCCTCCTTCGGTCCAGCCCATCTCCCAGTCCCCTCAACATGTGCTGCAGCCGTGCTACGAGGTTCCATCTTCCTTCTCCTATCCCTCCCTGATCCTCCCCCTCCCCCCACCGCCATCTTTGCACTGGGCATCCCCTTCAACTTCACTTCCAGTTGTCTGCATCCTCCAGGTATTATAATAAATTGGTTAGGGACATGAACCTTCTGAAGACACACAGGCCAGAGTTCTAGTCCCAGAACTTACTAGCAGTGTGATCTTGGGCATGATATTAGTGCCGACCTCACAGAGTTGGTGTGAGGATGACATGAGATCACCTGTGTGAAACATCTGGCACATAGTAAGTGAGCAGTCAGGTTGGCTGTGGTTATCCTCTTCTTCACCTCAGGTGCCGCCTCCTCCATGAAGCCTTCCTTCTGTTCCAGTCTGAAGGAGAGCATGTACTCATGGGCTATCGCATGGGGTGTCTGCCACCCACTCAGGCAGTTTCACATAGTAGCCCTCAGTTGAGTCCCCATGTTTCAGGGACAGATCACCCTTAGTAATTACACCTTGAATGATTGGTGTCTTGATGATGAAGAGATG